GTGGATAAACAGGACTTCCTCACTTCAAACTGTAAGGGCATCCCAAATAAACAGGCGAGGGGTAACGATTCTTTTGCGCGTCTCGCCCATCTGGTTTTACCTGTTTTGTTTTAAGTGGTCCTCTGAAGATCTCCCCCCCCATGTGCTCTGTTTGGTTTTCAACATGAATGGCAATGCTGAAGCAGATAACAATCCAGCGCACTGTGCAAAGTCTGAACACAACAATGCGATGGTGGAAGAGAACAAGAAGAAGAAAAAAAAATATCAGCAAGGAGCAAATTTTTTTTTTTTCCCTGTGCTGGATTGTTCTCTTTGATCCGGAGTGCAGTGAAAGGAGGGCATTATGTAACGTCCTCAGCACACACATGGCCGACTGTGTGACTGCCAAACACACGGGGGGAGTGGAGTGGTGGTGGTGGGGTGATGTGGCAGAGGAAGAGGGGGGGGGGGGGGCTGAGGAAGGAGATCAGGCCATGAAAGGCAGCAGTAGACGGACTCGTCGCCGCGTTGGGTCGCTTCCCTTTATAAAGGCCGCTCAGCCACGCAGCTGCCACGTAACGAGCCTGTTTATTGAGACACGAGACTGCCCCTTCAGGGAGGGTACAGAAGTGCGTCTGCTGGTCAGCGCCCAAAACTCCCGGCGTTTCAAAGAGAACACGGGGTCTCGGATCTTGCAGGGGAATGTTCTCCGCGTGGCTAACGAGGAATCAGCGTCATTTGTGCGCCCTAATTGGAAGCCACTCATTTCACTGGAAGGGAACAAGATGGCAGCGCAGTCATGCTATTGCGCAGCAGACCCCCCCACCCCCCGCCTCCTTTTCCAATCAATCATTTACAAATGAATCAATAATATACAAGGGCGACGTGTAAGCCAACTGTATGGGCTGGCTGAGTTGAGCGCCATACGGGGGGGGCCAAACGCGCGCCCCGGAGCAGGCCGCGGATGGGGGGGGGGAGCGTGCAACTCAAAGGAGAAATGTTCTAAAGCGACCCTGCCAAAACCGCGCACGCGACGCGATACGGCCTAATGAAGATACGTCCCAACTGACGGGAGGGGAGGACGTGGGGAAAAGGCGCAGAGCGATTGGTGGAGTGCGTCGGCGGTGGTGTGCGGCTGAAGGAAAGGAGAGGGGGGGGGGGGGGTGACGCTGAGATGGCCTGACAGGGTCTGTTTCTGTTCATTGCGAGACTGATATGCAGAGTGACCGTGTTGTCTTCCCTTCCCTCCGCAAAGGCATTCCAGTGCCAGCAGTCCACATGACACGATGCATGAGCCACGGTCGCTGGAGCCAAAAGACGCAAAGTCGGGTCCGTCTTAAGGTGCGCAACAAAAACCTCGGCCCACCCGATCCACCCCGCACCCCGCAGTCATTTTATGGGTCAATCAGAGTCGGAACCCAACACCCCCCATGCACCCTTTTTCTGTTTACGACCTATAGTGAGGGTACGGATGCATTTTCTTCAGAAATGACGTGCTTGGTAATCGGGTGTGTTGGGCTGTCAGCTCAGGGTGCATGATCTTGCCAGCATGACTCAAGTCTGCCCGTGAGCTGCTTCCTGTGCATCTACTCCAGTTGTTTGTATGATCTATTTTAGATTGTTTTGCCCAAGGATGCGTATGCGTGTGTGCATCCTCGCAGCAGAGAGCCACACATATAAGATGGGGGGAGGGGGTTTAGATAATGTCCAAATAATCTACAGGCAATCAGGCAAATTCCCCAGACGTTGTGCACTCGGGTAGGCTGCAGAGAGGGGTTGTGCGGCAAATTATGCAAAAGAAAGAACGAGATCTCTGTCGGCCCCTCTGTACGCGGGCAGCATGCGGGGGCAACGCGGGAGGCAACTTGTGTGACGCCACACGGGGCCGTTTGGCCCCCGTAGTAAAATCACAACCGCCCCCTCCCTCTCCCCTTTCCGTCGGTTCGCCCCTGTTACGCACACCGGGAGCATTACGGTGCTCGGCTCGGCGTGCGCCTTGACCGTGTGTGCGCGCAGCGGGGTGCGGAGGGCACCCTGGCGGGCTGCGACTCCGAGGGGACCGGTCCTCCGTCGCCGGCGCATGATGTCGTGCTCCTTGTGGCCTTCACACACTTGTAGGCGGGGGGGGGCAAGCCGAATTTGCCGTGACCCTGATGTGTCATCTCGATTCAGAGACTAGTTTCGGGTTGGTCTGATACCCGATCGTTCCGAGCGATCGTGTTTGTGGCACAAATAAAATAAAAACATGCGGGTCTCCTCTCTATAATCCCGCAGGAGCGGGCTCCGCTGGAAAGGCGCGCGGCATTGTGGTTGGTGAATGGCTGGGTCTAATCTCGCGGAGGCAGTGGCCTTATTGGACGGGTTTTGGAGCAGATTGGAGCCTGAGGGGTGAGAGCGGCAACGACCAAACAGAAGGAAAAGAGAGGAAAAAAGAAAGATATTTCTGTTTTAGGTTACGATTTTTGCGTTTTGATGCTCAATAAATTCAAATGATCAAAGTGGAGGTATACTCGTTCACATTTAGCCTCACGGATGTATGCAACTTAATACATCTTCAAAGACATTTAAATAAATAAATATAACGATAGGGCTGGAGTCTCGTGGAGGGAACATCTGCAGTGCATTGTGCTCTCAGCATGACGCCAATGTCTTCATACGTGCAAAGTACATTTCCACATCAGCGACACACATGGAGGGAATGTTGCATCCGCGTCAATCTTCCCAGAGGGATGACGCTCATGTCTTTTGTTTCATCTCCAGGGACAAGGAGAATTTAGGGTTGGAGCCTGTAAAAGTGGTGCGACACTGCCCTCTGCTGGTCTGGAAAGGGAACGAACGAACCTACAGCCTGGTCCCACGCATCATCAGTCGTGTTGCCCCAGCTCCATTGCAACATTAATGCAGAAGATGAATGATTGCTTGCAAAGATCGGGTCCCTAAAAAAGGCACCGGTTTCTACAATATGCCATTTTTCCAGCTTCCTAATTGAAAAAACAACCCTACTGTAATCACAGATACCGCTTGTTAACATGCTGATAAACAGAGTTATTACTGCTGATTGGAGTCCTCCAATTAGTGGAATCACTTCATTGTGGACTCAAGTATCTGCAACACTGAAATCATAGCAGATGTCTTTACCAACATAGCAGTGCCACGGTAGCGATAAGTGGAAAGAAAAACAACAATCTTATTGTGGGTCTGCTAAAATTAATTTCACTGGCATCTAATTCCCTGCCATCGTGCCCATAGATTAGCTTTTTCATTCACATTCATTTAAAGGTTTGCTTGAACCAGGATTAATAAGATCTTTCAAAAAGTGAATAATTGATTACCGCAAGCTGGATGCATGCAAATAATATTACAGAGTAGCGTTTTTTATTTGCCATTATGACAAAAAAAAGACACACACAATGAAAGGCGTTTCATTTATTTGGAAGAAATTGAGTACAAAACAGTGGCATTGTCTTCCAGAGAAATAAGGACAAAAGTGAACACTTTTTCTCTACGTGAATGACACCTGAAGCAGGACCTTTCTGAAAAACAGTCCTTGAGAAACAAGTAGCCTAAATATAGCAATTAAATAACGATAGACTAATACCTCAAACACATCACTGACGAATCTGCTTGTGTCAAACGAGCAGATTCCACGATAATCCCTAAAATCCACTAAAGTTCACACTAAACAAAACTAAAGAGACTCTTTAAACCGTTAGTACAGAAGTCTTTGACGCTGCACCGAGAACGTCTTTGATCAAAAGACACATGTGTTCCTGCACTTATACATCATCTGACAACTGTGGGAAAATACCAAAGTTTTAGAAAGATTAACAAAAATAAAATGGTTTGACGATAATGAGCATCCATGCTGCATACGAGCAAACTATTCTGAATAGAAACAAAGGATCTATCTTCATTCCGCGCGGCGCAATGATAGTCAGTAAAGGAGTCAAATCTAAAGACACAACGGTGCATGTAACAATTTAAAGACTGTAGGATATTAATACAAATGTAGGCTCTCGTGGACCGTTAGTCGACAGAAAAAAAAATCTCAATATTCAATACCACATCTCAATCAGTGATGACACGTAGCCTCTACTTATTGTAGCGTGACCTGTCAGAAGGGCGAGAAATGAATTTGAGCAGGACTCAACTGCACAAACTTTGTAGCCCGCTAACCCTTTTCTCCGTAACCAGAAGGACCATTTAGGCAGCTCGCACCATGACATCACCTCGTTTAAAAAAAACACAGGACCAACGCACTCGTAGTGCTCGCTGAACTCAACCCAAGTGACCGCCAAGTGTCAGACAATCGCAGTGGAATGTTGACGCCTATTCGTGAAATGAGGACACCCGTATTTCAGGTGAGTTTCAATGTTATTTGTGAGATCAACTGCTCCGTCATTGAAGCAGCAGAGAAACAAGCCGTTGTTCTCGTTACGGAAGAAATAAAATCAAGTTAGAATTCTGTTTTGCCAAAAGCCAACATGAAAACAATCGACGCCTTCCGAATAAATAAACCACCGCTAATCGACTGCTACCGAAGGTCAGACTGTATTCGGCCATGTAGAAAGCGAGAACGTCCAGGTCCGCAGACTAAGAAGCAATACGGCCCTTTAAACTGCATTCAGCCTTTCCAGAGGCTGTGATTTGTAGATGGTGCAAAGATATACACCTACATAGAGTAATGGAAATCAGATACAAAAAAATATATTGAGTACAACTGTACCAGCAGTGAGTATTTCTAAAATGTTACAGATAAAAAATAAATTCTGAGTAAATATATAGTATAGAATAAGGTTTGTAATAGAAACCAGCTATTTGAAACATGCTTTCTAGTTAGACACGTCTACTACGATTGATATTAGTGTACTAAGTAATCAGCCACAGTGAGCATATAAAATAGGAAACTAAAAGAATTCAGTTAACAGTGGGCAAGTCCAGTTAGAATCTGAAAGAGGGAGGTTGAGGGGGGGGACATGTTTTACAAAAATGAACCTCCTACTACCTCAAACGCCAGAAAGGCAAAAGGAGCAAAAGAGACCTGGTTCCTTTTCAAGTAATAAGAGTTTTTTTAACCCTTTTCTAAAGAAGTGTGATTTTAGAGTGAACGACGATAGACCAGGGCTATGGCTTAAACGTGGAAGGGAAGACGCTGGGGATTTCTTTGGCTCTCAGGTACATGAACTCCTGAACACTCATGGATCTTCACAATCACTGCAAGATCTAATCTCTGATTGTACAGATCACAAGTACTGTCAACCCAACTCTTTTCTCTTTATCGATAAAAAGAATGTTGGATTGGGGTTAAATGCAGAAGTCCTAAATTTCCTGTATGTACGCGACCACTGAAATACGGTTTTAGTTAAGCTGAGTGTTCCAATAAAAAGGCCTTGAGGTCCTCAAGGGAACACCACGCGAGCACCATATAAAACATTGTTCTTTGCTGAGGGAAGTAAATGCTTGGCAAGGAATGACAGCGGGCTGATCTCCACTCTCACAGGCAAACTCTACGGAAGCGATTGGAACGTTTACCCCCCCCTCGGCTTCACGGATCTGCTTCGGGGGTTTGACGACCCCCGTCCTTAGCCTTGATCTGGAGCCAGGTGTCTCCCAGCGCCTTGGCGAAGTGGTCGTCCACCGAGCCAGTGATGGACACCAAGTTGGACACGGCCTCCGCTTCCTTGTAGTTCTGTCCGAGGCTGCGCCGGAAGTGCTCCTCAATGACAGGGTCACATTCTGTGTTGGCTAAAACAACCATACGTGTGGGGGAGGGGGGAAAAGACAGAAACCCTGGTTACTACCAAGCAATGTAATACCTAGCTTTGGATTACTGGGTGAACGTTGTAAAGAGCGGGTCTTACCGTTGGTCTTCATCAGATTTGTAGGTGGGCCGGGGAAACAGCCGTTCATGTGGCAGTGCGAGAGGTTACAATTGCGGTTGCTCGCAGGGGCACATGTAATAACAGAGGGACGATTCTATAGGTGGAGCAAATACATACATATATCAGCAAACAGATTGAGCACTCTAAGTATTTACATTTATTTTAAAAAATATTCTTAGAATTTAGTCTAAAAATGTAGTGGAACAAATATTAGGTTGAAAAAAAGTCATTGAAAAAAATAAAATAGTAATAGTTAAAACAGATTGGGTTGTAAAATGTTCAAAAATATTTGGTCAAAATGCCAAGAGGAAAAGTAAAAAAAATGGTTGTAAAATGACAAAATATTTGGTAGAAAAATGTCATGGGGAGGGGAAAAGTAAAATATTTCAGGCCAAAACATGTCAACAATATTTCAAAAATGCACAGGGAGGGGTGGGGGTTAACGTGGCATCACCTAACACGGTGATTCGTCAAGCATGAACAGCGCTTGCCTCTAAATATTTGTAACAATATCTCATTTAAAGTTTTCCGTGTGCCTGTAGACATCAGATGCCTGCGTACCTTCCATGAGTGTGGACGTACCTGCTGCCGCTCTACAGCCCCACTGATGACGGACCGCTCTCTGGGCCCGACGACGATGTCCTGGCTGCTTTTGGTCAGTGCCAGAGGCTGGTCTACAGCGTAGCTAGAAATGGAAGCGTACAGATGGTTCCCGTGGAGACCGTTGGGGGCCGAGGTTATGTGCTCCGAAGGAGCGTGTCCCAGGCTCCAGTGCTCATTACGATTGTCTCCAGCAGAGGGACGGGCCCTAGACCAAAAGCACAAATTTAAGTTATACCACACAAAGTTTCACCTTTTCACACAGATGACAGCCGACCACGTAGACTGGGGACGGGCTTGTCTGGCTTTTTGCGAGTGCATCCCATTTGTTAGAAATATGTTACCATTAAACGCGTGATTTCCTTCTTGCAGTCCTTTGCCAGCAATCTAAATCGTTTTCTTAAAATAACGAGCCTTTAGAGCCCGGAAGTGGTCTTTGCCTTCCACCAGTCAACAATGTACGGTTACACTAAGATTATTAGTTTTTTTATAACCTCAAACTGAACTATTTTTTAAGGTACTTACAGTTGAGTGGCAAACAATCTGCTCATTTTGGTCATGGGGTCATCGTCACAGTTGATTCGGTCGTCCATTTGTTCTTCGCCATACTTCCGTTTGCTTGGGCAGTGTGGAGGAGGGCCAGTTATCTTGGACATAGCAGTGGGCTGGGAAGGCGCCCTGGACTCATCTGTGGGAAAGGAATCAGCAAAACAAATCATCTAAAAAGAACCAAACTACACTCACATGAACTACTGTAGCTTAACATGGCGACGTACATTCTTGCATATCATATTCATTTGAAAAAAAAAAAAAAAAAAAAAAAGTTTCCATGTTGGATTAATGTCACTTGACCAGGGCATACATTCAAGGAAACATTAGATAATCTGATGTACAGTTCAGTTCAAAATGTAATTAAACTGTTATCCAGAATACTATGCTGACAACAAACATATGAAAATGGGAGAACTTTGTCGAATTTTTAAAGATAAAATCGATTTCGGAAGGCAGCTTTCAATAGAAAGTAATGTAAATTGCTTGAAAAATATGACATTCTGTGTGGGAAAAAAACACAAAACGTTTTGTGTAAATATATGTTCCTGGTAAAACTGTTTGAATTAAAGTTTTAAATATTGTCTTACAAAATAAGAGTTCGTAGACATAATTTATACCGTAACATGATTCTATTGCGGGTATTAAAAATGTCACATTAAGCGTCTTCTTCACTGGGATGTTAAACATACACAGCAGTACTCACTTCATACACATTTGATTTACAGCGTGAAGAGAACAGATAGTTATGATCTTCACTCAAAAAGGGAAAGTTAATAACAGTCGCAACAAAAACAGCGAGGACATTATTTTGGTAAAGTTAACCTTAATTCTGGAAACCGCAAATTGTTAGTTTCACAAAGAAGTTACCCAAACAAAATAAAACCACAGAACAAAGCGCATATAATGATAAACCAACCTCCGTAGTGCAATCTCCCGATGTTATTGTTCATCTTGTCCAGGAACTGAGAGTTCAACAGGTCCATTCTAGTGAATAGCATTTACACGGACAGGCTAGTTGCTAACATCGATGTTAGCAAGATACACCAGCGAAGGCAACAACTAACGTTAAACAAGTTACAACCTGAAAGAGAGACACATTTGGACAAACAGAAAGGGAAATAGAAGTTAAACGGGGCTTGTGTTTAGGACAATTTAATGGAGATCGTTCCTTTGGCGTTAGCGGTTAACGTTGGCTGGCTGGCGACGGGTATCCCGACGTTGACGTTAAAGATTACGAGGCTTGCGGCAGCGTTAGCTACACACGTAACTTAGCTTCGGCTAACATCGCCGGTGTTTGGCTAGCTTTAAACAGCTCACAATACCAGTTACTGTGGTAACCTGAAGCTAATTTTAGTTAGACAACACAGTTAAACGCCGAACCTCTAGGATAGTTTTACACATATCCTTACGGTGGCTAGTTGGCAGTTATCTAAGTTGCAGCCGCTAACTAACTAGCCAGTTAACTTTAGCTAACAGCTAAGCTACTACCCAACTTTGTAGCTAACAGGTAACGCTAGTTCGGTTAAAAGGTCCCGAATTAATCTGACGTAATCAGAGCCGAACCGACGACAAACGAAACGCCAAATGTGACAACACACTTCAAAAGAAGCGAACCCGTCAAAAGTGTAACGTTACTCACGTCATGGACAAAGCTAGCTCTACAGCCACAACATCAACACGGTTAGAAGCAGCTCGCTCTCACTCCTTCACGCACTTTCCCACAACACCAGTCCTCAAACAAAAGAGTGGAGCGCGGCCCCGGAGGAGGCGCGGCGCGGCCATAATGGACGCAGCGACCAGCGGAAAGGTGCGTGTCTTCTGGATTGCTATTTAGCTCACATAAAATGGTTAAATATTTTGATACTGCAACATCTTAATATAATTTAGGGGGTCTTTAAATGATGTTTCTTCCTGCTCTGTTATTTTATTTATATATTTTGAATCGTAAACTAAACTAAAATAAAATGCATCATCTACTGAGGTGTGTTGTTTTTCTCATCCATGTACGTCAGATTTTTATTTTGACCAAAGTAGAGGATCTATTTTGTCTGTTCACTACACCACCACTACCAACTGTGCTTAAGATTCAGCACATGATGGTTAGAAATTAGTATCATTTGGGTTTCTTCCAATGCTAAACGGTTCATGGACCAAAACTTTTTTTTTTAAAAGCACAGAATAAGATTGACGAAAAAAAGGAGGGAGGGGGGGTTTATTGCCAAGAAAAAATTGTTTCTTCAAATTTAACAATATATTAACAAACTGCTAACTGTAAACAACACTGTACATATGAATACATGAAAAGACACTTTGCTCCATAGTACAACTTTTTAACTTCAAATTATTAACAATGTATTAACTGTTTACAGGATAATTACGTTTCCCGTCTATAAGAGCCGGAAGTGTATGTATTAGTTCTTTTAATTTTAGATTTATGCTCCTTGTGCAGGAACTAAACATACGTAAGTTTCACCTGTCCTAACGTCACATCAGGGTTCACCAGGTCAAGGCCAGGAGAGTTTAGCCTCCGGGTTTTACACTGAGAACAAATATCTTGGATAAAAGCGCCGTGGCTCATTCACATAGATAGAATGTGATAGAAAAGCATCATTTACACGCCACGCTGAGCGATGAGTCTTTGCTATGAAAGATTCCCCTTGTCATCCTCAGCCACCTAATTGATGATGGCAGAAGAGCTACAGGTGGGCAAACATAGGAGGTGCATTGTTGAGCCTTTTAGTGCATCACTGCCCCCCAGTGGTGACTGCAGACGCTGCATCCCTCATGCATCCTCCCCGACCATCAACTCACTTTCTACTTCTTCCACGACTCATGTGGCTTCTGTGACTTTCTTCCACTGCCTGGAAATCAGAGCGTTTTGTCTGTGGCCTGAACTCAAACCTCTATGAGTTACACATAAAGAGGAGTTTTACAGTTTAAAGCTTCTTAGCTGAGTCACATTTCTCTCTCTCAAAGTCAGGAAAGTGCAGAATGGGACTTATTTATCAATCTAGGAAAGGCAATTTTATTTGTATAGTACATTTGAGCAAGAAGGCAAATCAAAGTGCTTCAGAAAAAAACATTAAAAACATCTGAACTTAGATATTTACAAACAGTTAAGAACATTGAGCTCCAGTCAGATCAGATTCTAGAGGCACCTTTCAAGTAATCACATGTAGAAATAGCCTCCATGTTACAAAGAACTCGGTGAAGGTGGACGATATTAAATGGTAAAGTGAGCTCAAGGATGTATTTTATTGGATAATCTGCAGGTCTTTTCAACGATAAAAATCCCTTAATGGGAATTTAATGTTTTCAATTAAGTTCAGTTCTCTATAACAAAGCTGTATACAGTGACAAATAGATAATATTTTAGATAAAGAAAGTTGACAGGAGTTTGTTGATTTAGTCTTAAAGTTTTTTAAAGCTTCTTTATGCTACTTCAGACTATATCTTACATTTTAAAATGAATTTTAAATTCTATTCTATGTAATGCTAACGTATCGGGGAAAGAAAGATTGCTTTGGACTCTACCTCTCTGGATACGATGAAGAAACCTGCAAAGATCACATGATCCTTTTTAACCAGGACCTCATCCATCCAAAGCAGACTACAACAAGGGAAGAGGCTTCCACAGAACACCAAGCTGTCTGCTCTGTAGCTGTTTAAGGACACATCTTATATCCTGAAGAGATTGTTTTTCATGTTGGCTGGTTTTGTCCACACGGATGTCTTTATTCATCTGGAAGAGAAGAGAAGAAAAGAAAAAAAACAATTACTGTTATTTAAAATCAGCTTAAAGGTAATAAATGTCTTTATAAATGGCTTCATTACCAGATGTTCTTGGTTTGACTTCAGAATAAACAGTTTCCTCTTCTACTACACATCTGGATTTTCCTACCAATGAAAATATTTTAGGAATAGACAGACATTATTAAAGATTATTTTAAAAACAACAAACCACCATTTTCTAACATTTAAAAGGTGTTTGTTTTAGATGGAGACAGAACTCACATCACAAGGAGTCAATACCTGATGTGGACTTTATTTACCTTCATTGCTCTTCTTTCCAGTGGGGGGGTGAACCTGCACATACGTTACGTCATCTAAAAACACAAGACACATTTACAGTTGAATATTGATGGATGAATAAATATAAATAAATGAAATGTGTCATGCGCCTTATGTTTGATTCATCACTGCATAGTATTGTCATCATTTCTAACTAATTTAAATGGCTAACAATTTAAAAAAGGTCTAAAGTCTGTTGTGTACTTGTATGCAGGATGTGTATATTGTTGACATTGGCCACATTAGACGACGTATGAACGTATTAAACTAGAGCAGGTAGCACCTGTTAAATACTAGAAGCTGTGTTGGCGTTGACTGTACCTGCAGCTGATGGGATCCTCACATCCGAGTAAACGGGGCTCTCGTCTGGTTCATCGTGCTTCTCTGTCACAAAGACCACATGAAGAACTTTGATGAGAAGAACAAAATCATCTCAGCTGTCAAAGGTGATTCTCACTATACAAAGTAAATCACCTACCCTTCTTTTTAAGGTGTTTGAACTGAACCACAGAATATGTGAGGCTGGATTCATCTGAAATTACAATTTCTTGTTTAAAGTTAAGAATACATTATTTCTTGTTTAATTCAAGATATGTTGCATTGAATTTGAATCATCTAAATCTAGTATTTCTAACAGTTCTGTGATGAACACACAGGATGTATTATTACAACATATTCAGGTTCATTAGAGTCTTTGATTGTTTCATAGAGACAAGAATCACCTGCAGAGCAGTGAGGATAAAGACGAGGTCGTATCAATCATTTGAACCACTTTGTATCAATTATAGAATCTTCTCAAACAGATAACCAGAAATGGAAATGTTAGCATTAAAGTTAAGAACACATTATTGAATAAATCAGGACTAAAGCTGAACATGAAGAAGTGTCTCACCCTGGTTGATCATGTGGTCTGTAGCTGCGCTCTGATTGGCCCTTTGAGACCTTGTGGGTCCAAAACATGAAGTAAATACAGAGGATTTAATGAGGAACATGTAAAGTCCTGCTGCCATGTTCAGAGTGAGAGAAGAGAGGCTTGTACCAACCTGCTGAGGCTTGAAGCTGCAAGAAAAAGGTTTCACATTGATCATTAATTAGTGTGCGTGTGATAATATCTGTGACTTTGACTTATTTCAGTGAAATCAGTCTGATATCAGAAGGAAAAGATCTCACCTTCTGACTTTCTGTAGCGACGCAGAAACAGCAGCAGGAGAATAATCAGTAAAACTCCAGAAACCAGACCAACAACCAACGGCACGAGAAACACAGAGCTTGATGCTGCTTCTTCAGGATCTACACACAAGTACACACCAACCATGAAGAGATACACAAGTAACAATAATAATACAGTTTATTTATAACACACTCTTCATCAACAGATCTCAGAGTGTCACAGAGACGGAAAAACATACTTAAAACAAAGTAAAAGCCAGTAAAAACACAGGTACTAATGTGTTGTAGTACTTGTTTAGTACTACAACACACACACACTCAAATACACAAACATGAAGCCTTGATCACACAACATTCACCTTTCACTGCTGGTCATGTTACATCTCTAATATGTGTTTTTACTGAACATGAACATCTTTAAAACTATATTGTCTCACACAAACAAATAGTTTATCTTAAGATAACTTCTAATTCAGTGACACCTTTTCTCACTCAGACTGTAACACATGTTACAAAACTCGTACTCACATTTCACTGACAACCAGCTCTCTGCTGAGGTCAAAGTCTCCAAACCTTGAGGTGATTTCCTTCCTCTACATTTATAAAAGCCTTCATCTGACTTAGTAACTGCAGAGATAAGCAGCTCCCCTCTGGCAGGATTTGGGATGAGTGTGTTATTTTTATAGAAATCCACATTATAAAGAAGGTTTTCTGTCCTCAACTTGCAGCCAAGAGTGACGGAATGTCCCTCAGTCACAGGACGGACAGGACTCACCAGGATGACATCACCACCTGTAAAGAGACCAGAGGACAGGAAGTCAAACAAGCTGATGAACAATGAGGAGAAGACATTTATAGTTTACATTTGTTATTCACATTCACACAGTAGCTGAGCGAATAGCTGCATTTCATGGATGTGTTAGGGATTTAAGCTAGAAGTGCACCCCTAGTGGTGGAAATTGTATTACGTGTAATAATGTTTAGTGTTAGAATTATAGTTTGTGTGATGTTAGATATTAGGTATTACATTAACATGTTAGATGAAGTGAATACAATTTGAATCAAACACAGTTTATAGTCATTTAAATCATATAAACACTGTACACAATGTGATGTTAAAACCTGGAGACGGATGCTAATTGCCGTCCTTTATGGATTTCTCCCAATTTTATCCCCCAAAGAGGGTTTTTTGGGAGTTTTTTCTCCTGCCAGGTAGTAAATGAACAACTTAATGTAAGGCAGCCGACTGAGGCAAATGTCTTGAGAATTGGACCACATGAACTGTCTTAGATCTTATGATGAAGTGTGAAGAACGGGGATAATTTAGATATAAAAACCTTTAAATGAATATAAACTCACTGTGTATAGTGATGTTGGCTGCATTGCTGGACTGTGTTGCAGACTCACACCAGTACACTCCACTACTCGCTCTAGTGTTGGTGTTGCATGTGGATCCAGTCATTTCTCCCCAGTAATAACAGAAGTACACGTCACCATCTTCATCAACCCTCATCACTCTCCACTCA